TGTTTTTAGGAAGCGAATTCTGGGAGGGTCTAATAGCAACACTTGATACTGAGTTATGCGTGAGTTGGAGAGCCATTTTTCAGGCGGGCTCCTCAGGAGAGCCTCTACTGAGTGAGGGGCAATAATGCACAAGTCCTGCCCCAAAATGAGCTTGGAGGTCTCCTTAGCCAGGACAGCTGTTGCAGCAATGGCCCGGCCACATCCTGGCCAGCCAGAGGCTACCGGGTCCAGTCTCTTAGATAAATATGCAACCGGTCTATTCCATGGTCCCAGCTTTTGGGTCAGGACCCCCTTGGCTATTCCTCTGGCTTCAGCCACATATAACTGGAAAGGCTTAGTTAGGTCAGGTAAGACCAGTGCAGGGGCGTTTACAAGCGCCTGTTTGAGACTCTCAAAGGCTTTTGATTCAGTTTCAGTCCAAACTAGGGCTTCCCCTTTTCCTCCTATGCTGGCATACAGGGGCTTTGCTATTTTGGCGAACTTAGGGATCCAGAGTCTGCAATGGCCCACGGCCCCCAAAAACTCACGCACATGCTTCTTGGTTTGGGGCTGCGAGATCTTTAAGATTGCTTCAATTCTCCCAGTAGAGAGAGTTCTCTTTCCTCCCTTTAGCTCATACCCCAGGTAGGTGGCAGTCTGAGTATAGAGCTGAGCCTTCTTAGCTGACACACGATAGCCCAATCGGGCCAACTCCGCCAGTAAGTCCTCGGTTGCCTTTTCACAAGTGGCTCGATCTTCCGTTGCCAGAAGAAGATCGTCCACATACTGTAAGAGAGTCACTTGCAGGTGCTCTTGTCTAAAATGAATTAGGTCTTGACTTAAAGCCTCATCAAATAAAGTGGGCGAGTTTTTGAAGCCTTGTGGCAATCTAGTCCAGGTCAACTGCCCTGAATATCCTCCCTCTGGATTAGTCCATTCAAAGGCAAAAACAGGTTGACTTACTGTGGACAACGGGAGTGAAAAGAAGGCATCCTTCGGGTCCACTACGGTGTAGATCTGACGGTTCGGAGGCAGCAAACTCAGAAGGGTGTACAGGTTTGGCACTGTTGGGTGAATGGTCTCAACCCTCTTGTTCACTTCCTGGAGATCCTGCACTGGTCGGTAGTCATCAGTTCCCGGTTTTTGAACAGGGAGCAGAGGGGTATTCCAAGCCGACTGACAAGGAACCAAAATGCCTGCCTCCCAGAGTCTTTTAATATGGATGGCAATCCCCTTTCTTGCTTTTAGACTGATGGGATACTGCCGCACACGGACGGGGGTGGCGGTGCTAGTTAACTGTACAACAATAGGAGGTCGGTGAGAGGCCAACCCAGGCGGATTAGTTTCTGCCCACACATTAGGGATCTTATTCTGAAGTTCCTGTAGATACAGACTTAAGTCCAGGTGTGGGGACACTTTTTCTGCCAATAAGTACTCCTCCAATATGGGACAGGTAAGGAGCATAAGGGAGGGACTTTGGTCAAATGAAAGTTCGGCTGTGTCCTCCTGGAAAGTTATGGTAGCCCGCAACTTCTGGAGCAAGTCCCTTCCCAGAAGTGGGTATGGGCATTCGGGCATCACCAGGAACGAATGGGTAATAGTTCCTGCCCCCAGATCAGTTATTCTGGTTTTTGTCCATGGATAAGCTTTGGTTTTTCCCATGGCTCCCTGTATTAGAACCTTTTCATCAGACACAGGCCCTACCTCCTTTTGCAGAACCGAATGTGTTGCCCCGGCATCTGGTAGGAATTCTATTGGTTTGCCCCCAATCTTTAACGTTACCTTGAGCTCCTGGGGGCTCATTAGAACGGAGCCCCAGCCCTGTCATTCTGTACTTTTTACAAGGACTGGAGCCGGGGTGGATAGTTTCCCAACTTGCAGCTGGGGCCTATAGGGGCAGTCTTTCTTCCAACGTCCATATCCTTTGCAATAGGTGCACTGATCCAATCCCAAGTCATTTCTCCCTTTCTTTTGACCTTCCAACCCACTCTTTCTTTCTTGACTTACTCTTTCCCTCGGTTTCTGGGGTCCACCCATGGCAGCCACCATAATCTTAGCCATTTTCTTAGATTGCACAGTTCCAGGGTCCTCCCGGTTGTTGTAAATCTTCTGGGCAATCTCTACCAATTCAGCCAGCAACTTCCCTTCAAACCCTTTTAACTTCTGCAATTTTTTTCTAATATTTGGGGCCGATTGAGTAGCGAAAGCAATATTAATAGCACGCCTATTCTCAGGTGCTTCAGGATCTATAGGGGTGTACAGGTGATAAGCTTCAAAGAGGCATTCTAAAAACGCTGCTGGGGCCTCATTCGGCCCCTGCACTGTCTCGCTTACCTTAGACAGATTGGTTGGCTTTTTGGCCCCTGCCTGTATACCCCGGAGCAGAGTCTGGCGTTACTGATGGAGAGCCCCCTTACCTTCATTGTCATTGGGATCCCAATCAGGACGCATAGAGGGAAACACCTGCTCCATCCGGACAGGGTCAGTAGTAGGCTGTCCCTCCGGACCTGGAATCGTCCTGGCTGCTTCCCTCCGAATCCTGTCTTTCTCCTTCGAGGTAAAGAGAGCCTGTAAAGCTGCTGGCGGTCGTCCCAGGTTGACTGATGAGTAAAGAAGATAGTCTCCAGGAGAGAGATCAGTCCCTGCGGCTCCTCAGAGAAAGAAGGGTTTTAATTTTTCCAATTATACAGATCACTGGTTGAAAAGGGAACATAGACCATAAATGGGGGGCAGTCAAACCCAGGCCCCACAGGGGCCTGTCTTAGAGGAAGGATAGGGGTTTCCAGGGGAGGGCCAGAGGCAGGCTGATACTGGGAGCCACTCCGAGTATGCAGTGGGCCAGCAGAACCAGTAGGGCTCTGGGGCCCTTCATCCGACTCATCTGGTGTTTTGGAGACTGTGGGGGCATAAGAAGGGGGCCCCCTTAAAGCAGGTCTTCCACAAGATCTGTCAACACAGGATGAAATTTCTGCTTTGTCTGCTTCTCCTTGGTCCCTTCTGCCGGTTTAGATACCATTACTGCTTTCGGTCTCTTATCTGGCTTTTTGCACTGCTGGAGCCACCTAGGATCATCTACTAATCTGTCACTCCATATCTGAATATAGGGGATTTGGTCCGGGTGCCCTGGGATTCCAAAGATTATAGCTTGCACCGATTAGCTAGAGTGGCCCGAGTGCTTCCCTCCGGTGGCCACCCTACACCGAAGGTGGGCCATTCCTGCTCACAAAATTTTTGTAAGTCAAAAGAATTCACAGTAAACCCATATGGCTTGGCGCGCCTTTGGAAATCCTGAAAATTTTTCAAAAAACATTCAATCGGTGTACAATCAGTGCAGGTAACCCGAGACGTTGACTGGCCCATTTCGCCCACTCAGGCAAACAATTAAAACTGAATCTGAAGGTGCACACCCAAGCGCTGCAAACTACGTAAGTACTCTCGCCCCTCAGGAGTCAACGTGAGCAATTTCTGGCAAGAGAAGCAATGATCAGGACAAAAGTCGGGGAACCAGTGCAAGAGGCCTGGCTGGGGTGGCGGCAGTGAGATGTTCCAAGGCAAGGGTGGTAAGGCACCCCTGCCGTAGTATTCACGTCTGAGATTATGAACAGCGTCTATACTTCCTTCCTGAAATCTCGTACAGACCTCTAGTCCGATTTGCCCTTAGTAGCTGACACAGATGAAGGCTTCTTTGACTGTGCTTTCCACTGATCCTTTGTCTGACAATAGGGACAACAAGGTTGTTCCTGACCAGGCCTCTGCCCCTGCTTCCATTCCCCATGTCCTCGGCTCTCGTCTTTCTCAATTGGTCTTCCAAACTCCATCTACTTTATGTCGGCGACATTAACAATGACAACCAAACACAAGACATACAACACGCCACAAAACACGTCAAAGGTACAACCACGTAACAACTAGACAGAGAACAGGACTAAATCAGAGGCTCTCAGGTGATGTCTCACCTCTTGGAGCCACAGACCTGGGGAATTGGCTGTGTCCAGCCTCCCACGGGTCCTCAGAAGGGCCCACAGATAAGGAAACAGAAAACTCACCGGTGATCGGAAACTGAAGACTCGTCCTGCAGCTTTTAGGGCTCTAGGATACTTGCGACTGGCACCCAGTCTGGCCTCCCCGGGGCTGAGGAGAAAGGTGCTCCTCAGGAGCTCCCCCCTGGGCAGGCTCCCGGCTTCGTACCAGGTCTCCAAGCACCGGTGGTCACCAGGTGCCCCGGTAGCAGGGGCGATCTCACTGGGGCCTCCAAATGTTATGGTACAGAGTGTGAGAAAGACCACCTTGAGGCCGAATGAGCCAAATTGTGAGTCTTTATTAGCTGGCCAGCGACTACCCTCTGTACCACCACAGATGGCTGCACAGAGAGCAGTCCAGAGCTGAGAAGGTGAGAAGACTTTATACTAATTTGGAGGGGGGCTACGTGACATTAAACATGACATAGTGGAAAAAATAATTACATCATACATTCCGTAGCCGCAGGGTCTAGGACCTGCCTCAGACCACCTGCCTGGCCTCGGGACTGATTACAATCTTTGAGCAAGCAAGGTTACAGAAGCAGATAGCACCAGTTAAGGCAGGGAGCATTCTTTCTTGGGTGAGGCAAGTACAGTAAATTTGACTGCAGACAGCTGGGGGGCTTACACAATCAGTTACAAGGTCATTGCTTGCAGAGTACAGATTTTTCTATTAGGGTGAGGTTTACAAAGTACAAGCTTTTTACTCTATAGACAGGAATGAGTCTTGAAACAGCGTTTTCATAATAACTTTCCATATTTTTGAGGCCTACTACTACATATCTTGATTAGTATTTAGGGGAAAAAAAGAACAGTTATCTACAATATGCTAGAAATGAACTTTAATCTTTTGACCCTATTGTTATTATGACACTTTTCCTCTCTCTAGATTGACCAATCACTAAGAACTGTGATCTTCTCAGCTATTTAAAAGTCAGGCACTGCCAGGTAACTCCCAGTTTGTCTTTGCCAGACTCTAGGAAAGGAGGAGCACTACTCCATTCTGATTAAACAGTTCTGTGTAACTGCTGGAACAATGGAATCGATGCTGACTTTGTCAGCAGAAGAACCTGTTAAAAAGAACACGCTTAGGAAATACAAAATAATTTGTGCTGTAAGTAGAGTTCTTAATTTTAGTCTTTCTAGCTTTGTGACAAATGTTAAAAGTGTATGACTCCCCATTTACATTTATGTTGCTACTTAAATGTAAAATTTTCAGTAATTGTATTTAGTTTTATCCTTTATGACAATTCTAATGCAAATTAATATTTTGATAATATTTTACAAGTAAGAAATTTGAGTAACAGCAAACTAATTTTTTTTTTTTTTTTTTTGAGACAGTCTCACTCTGTTGCCCGGGCTAGAGTGCCATAGCGTCAGCCTAGCTCACAGCAACCTCAAACTCCTGGGCTCATGCAATCCTCCTGCCTCAGCCTCCTGAGTAGCTGGGACTACAGGCATGCGCCACCATGCCCGGCTAATTTTTTCTAAATATTTTTAGTTGTCCGGCTAATTTCTTTGTATTTTTAGTAGAGACGGGGTCTCGCTCTTGCTCAGGCTGGTCTCGAACTCCTGAGCTCAAGCGATCCTCCCGCCTCGGCCTCCCAGAGTGCTAGGATTACAGGCGTGAGCCACCATGCCCTGCCAACAAATTAATATTCGATTAACCTCAAAAGTTGGAATCCATGACAGAACATTTTGCAGCACTTGATTTTTTTTTTTTTTTTTTGGTGTGATTATAATTACCTCCCAGCTCACTTTTATTTTTTGAAACAGAGTCTCACTTGGTCACCCGGGCTAGAGTGCAGTGGAGTGATCATAGCTCATTGCAACCTGCCATTTCTGGGCTCCAGTGATGCTCTTGCCTCAGCCTCCCAGGTACCTGGGACTACAGGCAAGTGCCACGATGCCTGGCTAATTTTTCTATTTTTTGTAGAGACGGAGTCTCACTGTTGCTCAGGCAGGTCTTGAACTCTTGAGCTCAAATGATACTTTAGCCTCAGCCTCCCAGAGTGCTAGGATTACAAGCATGAGCCACCGTGCCTGGCCCCAATTCATTTTTTTATTGCATGAATATTTTAAAACCAGAGAGTGAGAAATTAAAATCATCATACTTTATATTCTTTGCCAAACTGTTGATTTTATTCTATTTGGCTTCACTCCTAGAGATAGTCTCTTTTGCCTATTTTCTCTTTCTTGTCCTTTTATGTGGCAAGATCTCCCCTGCTGTGTCTCCTATCTCCCCCAAAAAAGCTTTTTTAAATTTTATTTTATTACTTTCTCTTTTCCCTTCACCATCAAATTTTGGGGGAAAGGGAGGCTGTCTCCACTGCCGGGGTTTTCTCAGTGCTCTGACTTTGTTTCTACTGTACTGAACTACCCAACCTCCCCCCACCACCAAAGTTAATCTTTCTCCCTGTCCCTCCCCCACTTGAGTAGCCCTAATAACAATCATGGATATTGTTGAGTGTTTTCTCACTTTGGATTATTTTCTTCCCTTGCTTCCACCACAAATGACATAGAAATTCTTGTTTGTATCACTTTTCTCCTTACCTTCATTCTCGGCCAGTTAGTCTTTGGGGACTACAGGCACATGCCACTGGGCCCAGCCTGCCACACAATTTCAAATGCCTGCTTCCTGGCTCCTCACACAGTATCTCAAGCCAAAACCAATTGCATTATTTTTTCACACCTATTTTGTTTCATCTTTTTCCTAAATTGCCTACATTAGTTAATGTCTCCGCCATTCTCTCTGTCCCTCTAGTTGTTTCAAGGAGTAAATGAAACAATGTATGCAAGCCTTGAGTCCAGTAACAAAGTAAACTTTCAATGTATACTATTTACTCTTTATCCTTCTGAGAATTTTAGAGAGCTCTTCATCATTCTTATGCTGCTTAGTATGTTTGTCCTACCTTATCAATTCAGGAAATGATAAAATCCTTGGGAGCAAAATTTGAGCATCATTTATTTCCCTTCTTTGTATCCTTCTAGTGGTTTTTTTAAGTACGTATAATGAAGTTCAATATTTTTAAATCATTGTTTCAAAAATACCCTAATGTTTTCAAATTTGGACTAAAGTTTACTTTAAGAAATGTAAAGGTATCTACTATTTTTTTTTTTTTGAGACAGAGTCTCGCTCTGTTGCCCAGGCTAGAGTGCCGTGGCATCAGCCTAGCTCACAGCAACCCCAAACTCTTGGGCTCAAGCGATCCTTCTGCCTCAGCCTCCTGAGTAGCTGGTACTACAGGTGTGCACCACCATGCCTGGCTAATTTTTTCTGTTTTTAGTTGTCTGGTTAATTTCTTTCTATTTTTTTAGTAGAGATGGGGTCTCACTCTTCCTCAGGCTAGTCTCAAACTTCTGACTTTGGATGATCCTCCCACCTCAGCCTTATCTACTATGTTTTAAGTGATCTTTATTCAGCCAAGCTAAAGCCAAAGGTTGAATTCTCAGTGATTTTTGGAGGCCAGAGTATCCTTCCCACTTTATGCACAGCACAAGATAGTTTAAGATATACTTGCACCCCAATATCCAGAAACTTCTTCAGAATTACATATTTAGAGTAAACGATTATAGTAAATGATTATAAGAGATTAAAAAATGCACCTCTTGCTCTTAAGGAGCTTACAGAATAATGCAGAGAGTGAGTCATAAATTTGTGGAACAAATACAAAATCATGAAGAAACGGATTTTAAGGTTAAATATTACAAAGTTTTAAAGCATCCCAAGGATAGATAGATGTTGTCGATTTTTCCAACAAGTTTGAACGGTGAGAGTATCAAGATAAGATACAACCCAAAATATATTAATTTGTAAATCCATGACACATCAGATTTACCATGTGAAGTTCCCAGTGTTGCTTGGCTGTTTGTAGTAATCCTAGTTTTGGTTGCCTGTGGCTTGTGAGCACCAGGACGAGGGACTAGCTGCCCGTGCTGTTATTTAATAAATGTTTATGTTCGCTTTCTTCTCTCCAATCTTCCCACTAAATGAATCCTACTGAAATCTCTGACCCTTGGGCTAACTTTGAGAGCTCATATGACAACTGTTCATCCAGTATTTTAACACATTTTCCCAATCACTGAATTCACTTCCACTGTAAAAGTTAGATGTGTTAATTTTCCAGTTGACTCTCAGAATGAAAACAAACTTCAAAAAAATCAATAGTTTATGTAGCTCTTAATTATCTAACCAAATTTTGATGTTGCAGCCTTTTCTTTTGTCAAAGTTACTGTTTGTTTATGGTTTTTTTTGTTTTGTTTTGTTTTTGAGACAGAGTCTCATTTTGTCACCTGGGCTAGAGTGCCGTGGTGTTAGCCTAGCTCACAGCAACCTCAAACTCCTGGGCTCAAGCTATTCTCTTGCCTCAGCCTCCCCTGTAGCTGGGATTACAGGCGTACACCACCACACCTGGCTAATTTTTCTATTTTTAGTAGAGATGGGGTCTCACTCTTGCTCAGGCTGGTCTCAAACTCCTGAGCTCAAGCGATCCTCCTGCCTCAGCCTCCCAGAGTACTAGGATTACAGAATAGAGCTACCGCGCCCAGCCTATTTTTGTTTTAAACTGTAACAAAGGTTGTTGTAAAATATTTTCCTAAGTAATTTTTGTGTCTGCTTCCATTCTTTTGGACAATATACAGTATTGAAGACTGATCATCCAGCATGCTTATCTTTGGACTTCATGGATAGGGAAAGAGCACAGTGAGAAATATTCCTTTTAATCATATCATTATTTAATCTAATCATAGCATAAAGTTCACTGCATCAAAGAGCTTTGTCAGCACAGTGCTAATGAATGTCACAAACAATCTTTGGTCAGGAGGTTTCCAAGTTACACTAAATCATTTGTATGAGCTAAAGATACAAAGAAGATAGCTTGCCAGTTAATTATTTGGACACTATGTTTTTACTTATTTAAATATTCTCATTATCCTCTGATAGAGTAGGGGGAAAAAACCAACCCTGCTCCCTAGGAATGAGGCAGTTAAGGATTTCACAGGCCTGGAATGCTCTTTGATAAATGATCTCCAAACAGGTGTCTCATTAAAAAAGAAAAAATGGGCAAACAAAGTGGTTTTGTGGTTTTAATTCCTGCTTCAACTAAATTTGGGATTAAGCTCATTGCATTTGTTTTTTTGTTTGTTTGTTTGTTTGTTTGAGACAGAGTCTCACTCTGTTGCCCAGGCTAGAGTGCCGTGGCGTCAGCCTAGCTCACAGCAACCTCAAACTCCTGAGCTCAAGCGACCACCAGCTTCAGCCTCCCAGAGTGCTAGGATTACAGGTGTGAGCCACCATGCCTGGTCAGCTCATTGCATTTGAATAGTGAATGTATCTGAATTTGAAGATCTGTAATAAATGGTATTTTAAAGTTCTTCCCAAACCTTCTCTCTTATTTTCAGACATTAAATAAAATAACATATCTCTCTCATTGTTGGATCTGGGATCCCACATAACTAGCTTGCTGTAGGTACTTAGAGAAAGTACTCAGAGAGGCTGGTTATTTGTATCTTTGTATATATTTTTTTAAAAATTGTAAAGGTTACTCTTCCTTTTTTGCAATAGGTTCTTCTTGCTTTGTTGGTGATTGTGTCGCTTGCCTTAGGTCTGGGACTTGGACTGAGGAAACCAGAAAATCAAGGTACTCCCCTCAGCCTTTTCTCAGAGCATTCTCTTATTTTTCCTTTCTCCTGGCTTTAATCTATTAAACCTTGTCTCCCTCCCTAAGGCTCCTCTCTCCTGCCCGCAGTTCTCTCCTTCTGGGCGTCTCCCTTTCCCACATCCCACCTATCAGGAGCCCACATCTGTGGCTGGCATTTTCCACTGTCCTTTCTGGACTTTCCTCTTTTGCCCTCGTACAAACACCCCTGCTCCTCTGAGATTCATTATCCTTCCAGTATTTTCTCTTACCCTTCCTGACCTTTGTAGAGGACTTTGACAATTGGATAACAGATTTTCCATCTCAGCTCCTACTGTAATCAACATCTGATGACAAAGTGTCCAGGCCTTGAAAGTCTTGGTTGCACCACTCCCATGACCCTCTGCCACCACTCTGCACCTTGATACCGTGCTAATATTGTTCCATCTCTGAAATCTCACTATTTCTTGGTTAGGCAGTGCCAAATACTTGAAAAGTAGTGCATAATAAAAGCTTCGAAATGTTTTTTGTCATAAGAAGCAAAGAAAAATAGGAGAAACATGCCTCAAAACATAAAAACACCTCTGCATCCCTTTTGCCGTAACTTGTATGAGTAGTATGAATAGTAATATACCATGTACAAGTGACTATATAAAAAGAATGTTCTGTAATCTTTTTATATATTGTTTTGATGCTTTTGCTAAGGTGAAATATGAGGACAGTTGCTAGATCATCCATGGCTCTTTTCAATTTGACTGATGACTTCTAGTTTGACTCCAGTGGGAAAAGTCTGATCCCTTCCTCATTAGGAAGACTCTTGATGAGCTTAACTGGCAATTTTCCAGTCCTGTTTTCACAGAAGAAACACTCAGCTCCTCTGGTATAACCTGGGAACACAATGGAACTGAAAAGGTGAACATTAGCTGGAAAATTCCTCTTGCTCACTTGGCTGTTATGTTTCTGAGCCTTGGTGCCAGTCCCAGATCTAATGAATGTTGGCAGACCATGCTGGGGGTGTCATTCTGATGTTAGTGTGCACAAATGGGCACCAAGTTTTGGCTATTTTAAGCCACAAATCACATAAATTGATTGCAAAAGGCATACCTAATCTCTGAAAAACACCTCCTATTGTTGCAGCTCATCTATTCACTGCTTTTTTTTTTTCTTTAGTACATCTCGTGGCTGGCTTCCCAGAATTCATTTTTCTTATTCTCTTCCTGTGACCTCAACCAGTCCTATGTGGCATCACTTCCTTCTCTCTCCCACCCGGTGTTGGTATTTAGCTCCAGCCCCTTTTATGCCAGCATCCTTATCATTTTCATCCCTTTATTACTCATTGTTCTGCACCTCTGTTCTGCTAAACCCCAACCTTGCACCATTCTCATCATTCTCCACTTCAGTTAACCCACCGTCTATAGGATATATATATATATATATATATATACATATATGTGTGTGTGTGTGTGTGTATATATTTTGAGACAGGGTCTTGCTCTGTTGACCAGGATAGAGTGCAGTGGCATGATCATAGCTCACACTCCTGGGCTCAAGCAATCCTCCTGCCTCAGCCTCCCAAGTAGCTGGGACGACAGGCACACACCACCATGCCTGGCTAATTTTTCTATTTTTAGTAGAGACAGGGTCTCACTTTTACTCAGGCTGGTCTCGAACTCCTGAGTTCAAGCGATCTTCCCGCCTCAGCCTCCCAGAGTGCTAGGATTACTGGTGTGAGCCACCACACCTGGCCCCTGTGTTTCTTTTAAATCTCTTTTTTCTTGTTTCACTTCCTCATTTTGTTAAAGAACATCCTTGGTAGCTTCCTAAAATAGGATGTATGAGAGATATAACGTGAGTCCTTGCCTATCTAAAGACATCTTTATTTTCCTAATCTAACTTTTAACAGTTGGCTAGATAGTGCATTTTAAGACGAAAATAATTTTTTTTTCAAGAAATTTGAAAACCTCACTTTCCTGTCTTACAGCGTGCAGTGTTGCTTTTAAGAAATTTGATACCATTCTGATTGGTGATTCTTTGTACATTTTCAAGATCTCTTAACCCTATTGGTTTCTTAGTGCGAGTTTTGCCCTGGCAAACTTGGTAGGCAAATTTGTAATAATTTATGCACCTGAGTTCTCACAAATTGTATAATATGATTTCTTTAATAACATCATCTCCATTTCTTTCTTTTTTCTTTTTGCAGTTTTAAGCCCTAGCTCCCTGTTTCAAGATCAACAGTGTTGCAGATGAGTCATCCTATATGTAGTATTGCTAAACCAAAATAAATTTATATTTTTTTTAAAAAAAGATCAACTAATTCGTACCCCTAATTACATCTGCAAAGTCCCTTTGTTATGTAAGATAACAAATTCACAGTCCCAGGGATTAGAGGGCATGAAATCTTCTCGTGGACCATAATTCTGCCTACCACACCCCTCTATTGAATTTTTCATTGCTTCTCTCATATTTTTATTTCCAAGGACACCCTGAATGTTGTTTCTTTTTTTTTTTTTAATTTTAGCTTTCTTCCTTATTGTATGGATCTCTCTCTCTCCTTATTGTATTGTATCTTCTCTCTTTTCTGAGGATCTCAACAGTGTGTATGTCTGTGTGTCTGTGTGTTCTAACTCTTCTTCTCCCTGCATTATTTCCTTTTCAATCAAGTTTTTCTTTGATCTTGTTTGTTTTGGCTTTCATGTTGGATGCTATCCTGCTATCCTCAAATGTCTGGTGACCATCTGTTCATTTTCAGAGTAAGACTTGTTGGTCTTTTTGCATCATTGCTATCTTGCTCTGTTTTCTCTGTGATGAAAGCCACTCCCAATTCCTGGAGATTCTGAGCCTCCTAGTCTGGGGTGGGAGAAAGGGTGGGCCAGTCACTGCTCCACATTCAGACTTTAACCAGTTCCCCTACATTTAGCTTTGTGCCTGTCTCTCTTTTCCCCTCATCTAATAGTGCCTGGTGTCTCCAAGTTGGGGACCTCTCTCTCCAGGGTTCTGGGGAAAAGTCACTTGGCTTTTACATTTCCAGGGACTCCCTCCTCGTAGGCATCTATTAATTGTTGCTTCCCTCATTCTGTTATTTCTGTCTTTCAAATTTTTTTTCTAATTCCATCTTCTATTATTCGATTTAGAGTGTTTATGTCTTTTTAAAAACCGTTTTCCCTTTATGCTTTTTGTGACATCTTTGTGGGATTTGGGGAGATTGAGCAGGTAAATGACATTAATAACCAGCTACATTTAATGAGAAAACTGTATACTATTTTGTAATTTGCTTTCTAGAAATAATAACATAAGCATTTAAAACAACTTCTACTGGCATCCCAAAATGACTGTGGTGTCATTTTATGTAGATATAATAATTTAATGTACTCTCTCTTTAATGTATGTTAAGATTGTTTCACTTTTAAAAATATTTTTGCAATTATAGATAATACTGTGGAGAACATTTCTGAATGTAGATCTTTGTGTGTTTCCTTAGGATAGTCTAGAAGTAAAATACTGAGATCCAAGGATACGAAGATGTTTTTTATTAATAAAAATTTCTAAACATATACAAAAGTAAAAATACTGATTGAATAAATGTTCATGTGTTCTTAACCCTGCTCTATCAATTCATGACCAATCTTCTTTTATTTATACCTTTATCCACTGACTCCTTTCCATATTATTTTGGAGCAAATGCTTGACATTGTTTTATTTCCATAAGCATTTCAGTGTATATTTCTAAAACATAAGGACTTTTTTTAACAAGTGTACCATAATATTGGATATAAATATTTTAAAGAAAATATCCTCCACTTTTCAGACAGACTTTTCAAATTATTATTAGTCTTGAATAGGTAATATAATCCCATTATTCGTTCTAGAGTTTCTTTCATTACTGCCCTATAGACAGCAAGTTTCCCCCCTTAGAGGTAACTAAGATTATTATCACATTATTGTATACTCTTCTAGGGATTTTATGCAGATAATTAGCAATGTTATGTTTGTGTTTTCATGAGCTCATGTTTCCTTTCTTTCTTTCTATACCTTTTCTATCTTTCTTTTTTTTAAATTCCCGCTTTATTTTATATTGTCATATAACCTTCCTGAAAGATTTCGTGAATTTATACTACCAAAACCAGTAAATCTCATTGATTTGATTGCTAGTGAAAAATCACTATTTTTTTAATGTGTTCACTAACCTTCTGTAACAGTACTTTGAAAATCATCTGAGTCTTCAGTTTTGTGTCCTTTGGGATCAAACTACCAGTAGGGTGACTTCAGGAGATTTATGACTTTGAGAATTATTGCTTTCAGTGCCTTTTATATCAGTCCTTATCTTCTTTAATCTTTTTTGTACATTTTGAAAATGAGTATCCTAAAGCACTTTCCTTAACCACTTAACTCCTGAGACATTTATGTTTTGTTAAGCCCTTAAAATTAATTTTTTGTATATGTTGTTAGGCAAGAATACCAAGAGACTCCTCCTCTTCATATAGCTAACCACTTGTCCCATTACCATGTCATATTCACTATTGCTTTGTAGTTACCACTTTTTTTTTTTTTTTTTTTGAGACAGAGTCTCACTGTGTTGCCCGGGCTAGAGTGCCGTGGCGTCAGCCTAGCTCACAGCAACCTCAAACTCCTGGGCTCAAGTGATCCTACTGCCCCAGCCTTCCGGGTAGCTGGGACTACAGGCATGCACCACCACGCCCGGCTAATTTTTTCTATATATTTTTAGTTGTCCAATTAATTTCTTTCTATTTTTAGTAGAGACGGGGTCTCACTCTTGCTCAGGCTGGTTTCAAACTCCTGAGCTCAAACAATCCGCCCGCCTCGGCCTCCCAGAGAGCTAGGATTACAGGTGTGAGCCACCGCACCTGGCTGTAGTTACCACTTTTTTAAAAAAAAAAACTTATTAGTATAAAGTCTCTATAAACATATCTGCATTATTTATAATTTTATCCTTAATACCTAGCACAGTGCCTGAAACTTAATGATGCTAAAATAAATATTCATGGAATCAATTAATTAATTTAAAACCATGCATAGTTTTCAAGGGACGGGGACACGGTATGTGTAGTTGAATTCCCCAAACATATCCTATGCCCTCTTTGCCTTCAAGGGACTCCTGTAGAATACAAAGGAGAAAGCAAGTATCATAAGGGAATTACAGATAATATTCAGTAAGAATACATAGCAAGGGGAAATTACACTTAGCTGAACACATACTCCTTGCACAACGAGAACTACAATATTCCCTGTTTAGTATCACTCGTATGCTGATGACTCCAACTCTTTAGTTTATCTCTCTCTTTCCTGAGTTTTTGATCCAAATATTCAGACTCCCTCCTAGATATATATTTGTTTGGATAGCTAGAAAACTGAACTTCCCTTCCTCTGAGAAGGGAAGTGTGGGTTAGAATCGCCTGCTTGGCCCAAGAGTATCCATCCCTGCCCAACTCTCACCTATCAGCCAGAGTGAGTTTCTAAAACACGGATCTACTTACTCTCTGCTTACTCGTTAATGGCTTCCCGTGACCAAAGGTTAGGCTTCAAGCTTCTTTGTATGGCATATGCACCATTTCTCTTACCAGCCCATCTTTATCTTTGAATTCTACCCCTTAGCCATCATGACCTGTCTGCTGTTCTCCAAATTTGCCTTTCTAAGCTTCACTGATTTTAAAAATCCTGATCCCCTTTCCAAGATTCAGTAGGGTCCTTGAAGCCCCTTGCTAGTGTTTGTCCTGCCTCTGCGTGCTCCCGTGTGCTCCTCGCCTGTGTCAGTGTCTCATTATTTATCACACTGCACTGGCGGATCATGCAGCACCATAAGAAGCACCTATTTGTCTGTCCTAGTCTGTGCTAAGTACTTCTGTGTGCTCCCACCATCTAGGTATGAGACAGCGGATAACTCCTAAATGTTGGCATCCTTATTTCCTTTACTCTACAGGCAGCTGCAGGAAGAAATGCTTTGATTCATCTTATAGCGGACTAGAGGGCTGCCGGTGTGATGCGGGATGCAAAGACCGAGGCGATTGCTGCTGGGATTTTGAAGACACCTGTGTGCAATCAAGTATGAATTCTGAGAATAAGTTTATTAGCATGTTGGTTGTGCTATCATTAATGCATGTCCAAATTTTCACCTACACACTTTGCACTTTGTGCTTTAGTTTCCCAGGGCTGTTAAAACAAAGTACCACAAACTGGGTGGCTTAAACAACAGAAATTCCGTCTCATAATTCTGGAGGCTAGAAATCCAACATTGAGATGTTACCAGGGTTAGGTTCTTCTGAAGGCTATGAGGTAGAATCCATTCTGCACCTCTCTCCTAGCTTCTGGGGGTTTGCTGGAAATCTTTGCCTTCTGGCAGCACAAATCCAAACTCTGCCTTAACCTTCACATAATCTGTGTCTTTCCACACAATCTTCTTCTCTTGTGTATCTGTGTCCAAATTTCCCCTTTTTATAAGAACACCAGTCATGCCGGATTAGGGCTCACCCCAAGGACCTCATTTTACTTGATTATCTGTGAGTGATTTGGATGTGACCATTTCCAAATAAGGTCACATTCACAGGTAGTGGGGATTAAGGCTTCAATGTCTTTTTAGGAGACACAATTCAACCCATAACACCTTTTATACAGGGTCTTACCATTTCCCCTTTTACAGCGATAGATGCAGAGTTCACACTTTATTTAGCTGAGGTTGAGGGATAATAGACTACATTAAATGAAATGCTGTATAATTACATATGTTTCAATGGAGTTTTACAGTGGCTTAAGTTAAACATCTTATTTCATTTCATTTTCAGTGGTTCTTAAGCTTCAAAGTGCATAAGACTCCCTTGGAAAGCTGGTGATTCTTGGTCATTCTCCACAGAGCACAGCTCAGAAATGTTGTTTTCTAAGTGGAAGAGACAGCTTGCAATGTGGCATTCTCTAAGTAATCAGGGAAGGGGGATTGTCTAGTGGTTGGAGGAGAGTGAAGAGTAGAACAATAGAATTTCTTACATTCTATTCTCTGAGAAGAGCAAGAGGTAGGGGGATAACCAAATATAGATAGAGATCTGGGTTCCCTTTCCTTAATCTCCAAAAATCCTTTCTCAGTAAATAAATGCTGGGAATGAAGAACTCTATGCACAGCTCAAGCACACTGCAGTCACCTATCCCACTTGTTTGTCTAAGCACAGGGCTGACGTTTACTATTTAGCCACTGTTTTCTAGCAGGTGGTAGTGGGCACAGCCATCCTCCAGGCTCTCGCTGCTTTGAGCAATGGGATTTATTTGAACAGATCTCATTCTAAGCTTGAGAGAACCCCAGAGATGTGGGTGGGAACTGCTCTGCCACTTCTGTCACTGTCCTCTCAGAGGGACCCTGACCTGCCTACATTCTCACTGCCTACATGATTGTGCTCTTATTACTTCTGTTGCCACTGTCTCTTCCTTGCTGTCTTTCTTTAGACGAGGCTGGGTAAAGGTGCTCTTGGGTGGCAATAATCAGGGCTAGTGATTCTACACTGTGGGGAGCTCCTGCCCTTGGATGGGAAAGGACCAGTGTTCAGACCTTCTCCAAACTCACAGTGTTCCTGCTAAGCAGACTGAAGTTGCAGCTTATAAAACTGCATTTCTCTCTGCCACCTATGCTAACGCAGAAAAGTGGTAGGTCGCCCCTCATTTGGTATTATACATTTTCATTTATTAATGCAAATATTAATAAACCACAAATTTGGCTGTTATAATAATATAGAAAGAAATGCATGAAATTCATACCTTATGTGTCGGATACTTATCTTACTATTGGAAACGTATAAATGCTGAGCAATGAATTGTGTTATTCCACAGCTGAAATATGGACATGCAATAAATTTCGTTGTGGGGAGACCAGATTAGAGTCCAGCCTTTGCTCGTGTTCAGATGACTGTTTGCAGAGAAAAGACTGCTGTGCTAACTATAAGAGTGTTTGCCAAGGTAAGCAGAAGGATGTTGACTCGTTTGCCCCTGCAAGTTCCGTGGATCTCTGTGAGTTTCCTAGAGCTAACCTAGGCTGCAAAAATTAAAACAAATCAGAGACTCTTTAGTTACTCCATACAGAAAAAAAGATCAAATGTGTTTACTGTGGGAAGAAATGTCATTTATACACTATAGAGTAAAGAAGCTCATAGCATAAATACAGAAAAGAGGAGAGAGCCTAAAGTCCCACATTAGTCTGTAAGGCCAGGTCTTTTCCAACCCAGTGACCATGCCAGATGTACTTGTGGTTTGAGACCCTGAATGGCCAATCCTAAAGCTAAAACATGGCAGAAGAGGTTATCAAGCTCAAATATTAGCCTGTTAAGCCAATGTTGTTATTTTTAAAACAAATGTGTTCTTAAAGGATAAATGGCTAGGGGCCCTCAGGGAGTTAATGCAGAATCAAGATTAGAATTCAGGTTATTTGACACCTTATTCCACTTGCTCATACCTTTATAAGTGATGTGAATTTTTTTTTAAATCACCAGTTCCTCAGGACATCTGATGAAATTTATGAAAGATGCACATATATACATATAGCAACAAAATTTCTTCAAATTATTGACTCCTTTTCGTAACACCACACCCAGTTGAGCTGACACTTTTAATATTTTTAGACAAAAAAAGAGATTAGGCTGAATTCTTATTTTTCTTTTTTGAGACAGAGTCTGGCTCTGTTGTGTGGGCTAGAGTGCCGTGGCATCAACCTAGCTCACAACAACCTCAAATTCCTGGGCTCAAGGGATCCTCCTGCCTCAGCCTCCTGAGTAGCTAGGACTACAGGCAGGCGCCACCGTGCCTGGCTAATTTTTTCTATATATTTTTAGTTGTCCTGCCAATTTCTTTCTATTTTTAATAGAGACGGGGTCTCGCTCTTGCTCAGGCTGGTCTCGAACTCCTGACCTCAACTGATCCTCCTGCCTCGGCCTCCCGGAGTGCTAGGATTACAGGCGTGAACCACTGCACCCGGCCTGAATTCTGATTTTTAAAATAGGAGGAAAATGTTATAGCAGAAATATTAACTATAATCTATTACTAGAAAATAAGTATTGTGCTAATAGACAAATCTGTTTTTATACAAAATATAATTGAAAATCACCTAAAAAGGGTTATCAGAAAATAAAATAAAAGACTGAATGATTATTTAAAATAACAATTGTTCAGTACTTAATATTGAATGCTGTATCATTAAAAAATTCCTCTAAATTCACAAAGGCAAGTGTAGGACGGAAGCCCCTTGTTTCTCTAAATTCACTAATCATACTACCTCTGACTTCTGTGTTCTTCCTTTTTTTGCTCCAATTTAATGAATTTTAACTTTTTATCTTGTTGGAGTTCAGAAACTGATTCCCCCAAATATGGCGCTATGTACGTGCTGAATTGAAAAAGGAAACTCAAGATGTCTTTGATCTCCCCTCCTTCCCACTGTCTCTTCCAAAGCATAGAATGATGTTGTTCTCTGAAGTTCCCTTACTTGCCTAAAGTCCAGACCTACCAGAGAAGAAAACAATTGCCTCTGATTCCTTCCCTGAGCTTTCATTAACTGAACCCATATTGCAGGAAGGAAGACTAAAGTCTGTCAACAAACCTGGACAGAATTTTGTCACAAATCATTGCTTGCTCTGCGGGCCCAGCAGACGTTGTCCCAGACCTTTGTATGTTCTTCAAGCCCATTGAATTCTCCCTACTAATCATTTATTGCCCCGCAACAGAATTCCTCTTCTCTTCCCTCCCATAACCTGTTTTGCCAGGATCCATGTCTCCATTCTTTCAGTAACCTCAAGATGGTATATACACTTCTGCACTCCATTGGGGGATTGGATCTCTATTCTGAAGCCTCCCATGTCCCATAAAACTATGATTGAATAAATCTATATGCCTTTTCTTCAATTAACCAGCATTTTTTGAGTTGATTTTTGAGCAAATCTTCACAGGGCAAAGGGGAAGCTTTCCCTTGGCCCTGCCAATCTCAAGACTGAGTCTTAGGTCATGTGGTAAATTTTCTTGCTGTATTTATCGCATAGTAGTGCATAAATTTAACAGAAACAAAAGCAGTTGTTATAAGCAGTGTTGAAGTGTTGGTTTACTCTGATGGAGTAAATTTAATCATTTCAGTTTATTATATTTTTAAAATAAATATAAATGTTTTCTCACTCTGAGGGTTCAACACTTTAAATTTTAAAATGTTAAATGATTTTTGTCAGAATTGTACCTTCAGAGAGTAGTTCGAGAGAATTTGAATCATTTTTATGCAAGAAACCAGCTAGTTCCTCTTATATCTTTAGACTTTTTTAAAACGTTGTGATAATTTCTACCATATACAGAAGTAGAGAGAGGAACCTGATGTTTTCCCCATAAGCCCAACCACCTATCTTCAGCAGAGGGAATAAAGAGATTATTTTTAAATGGTTGTTTTTGTTTTAATTTGCACAGTTGCACAGAGGAAATAACTTAGGCACTTTCTGTTTTTAAAAATCATAAGGTCTCATGACTTCATTTGGGGACCACAGTAACAAAAACAGCTCACCAATCAGATAGAAAAGCTGGTCACTAACCAAGCTACAGATTCACACCATGTGGCCTAAACCCGACAGGATGAGTCTTTTCACCCCATGACATACGGGCAGTGATTTTTTTCCCCTAAATGTAACACTGGACTATTTCCTATTTACTTCATTGATTGCAACTACAGAGGAGGACTCAAAGCAAAGCACAATCTTGCCAGCTGACATTCCAAAATTCTGTTGACAACTCTGAGACTATGAGGGGAGAGTTTTCACAAGCCAGACAGGCCTGGGGGGGCACCAGTCCCCAAAGAAACCCTGCCATGTGCTGGCCCTTTGAGTAAGAATGCTGCATCTTTCTACATATCTTTCATGAGAATACTGAGAATTGAATATTCCTTTTCAAAACGCACTTTGCTTTTTTTGTATGTTTTGTTATGTTGAGATGTTTCTAAAGAAAAGATTTTACGTCATTATAAGATGACGTGTAGTGAATTGTACAGCTGTTGTAATAATGACCTATTTCTATATAAAATAAAATTGTATGGATTATGTGTAAATTATTTTGTATCTGAGACACCAGTTCCTTTCCCAAATATAAAGGTTAAAAAAAAAAGTTTGTCTCATATTGACAGAGTATAATTCTGAGTGTAAACATGTCAAAGATTTACTGACTCATTAATGAGATAATCAAATAGAACATAAAGCTGGTTCAAAGAGAATCAGAGACTAAGAGACTAAGTGTACACAGGACTGAAAGAATGTTGGAATAAAATCACAAAAACTGTAACTTTTGGTGGGAGAGAAATGATTTGCATTTCTATAGGACGATTTATTTGCTATCTGACAAGAATGGGTTATATTGCTACTTGTTTTCTGCTAGTTAATTACTACCTTTGCTGAGTTGTAAAATGAATGACAAAGAGTGAGCTAGATAAAGATATATACTCCTTGGTAATTAGATAATTCATAGATGAACTTTTTAGATAATTCCCAGCATGACAAAAAAATGATCTAGTGATCAGGTCTCCTTTTGCCTATTTCCAAGTTTTAGACGTTTTTTTCCCCTTAACAAAATATACTCATCATTGCCCCCAACCTCTCTCCCCAAATTTTAGATTGTTTCAGAGCAAATTAAAGAGTTAATATTATTATTCACCTGTAAATATTTTCAACATGTATCTAAAAAAGAAAAGAATTTAACACAATTACAATACCATTCATACATCTAAAAACATCATCAATAATTATTTAGTCATCAAATATCCAATCAGTGTTCAAATTTTTCTAAAAGTCTGAAGGAAGATCCAAATAGATTCCATGTATGGCAACTGCCTGATATATTTC